GATAGATAGATAGATAGATAGATAGATAGATAGATAGATAGATAGATAAATGATAAATAGATGGTACATAGATTTATATAGGTAGATGAATAGATAGATAAATAGATGATAGATGGTAGGTATATTTGTATAAGTAGAAGAATAGATGATAGATAAATAGAATATATAAATGATAAATAGATGTTTGAAGATAGATAGATGATAGATAGATAGATAGATAGATAGATAGATAGATAGATAGATAGATAAACAGGCAGGCAAACAGAGGCCATATATGAGCCAGTGTGTTACAGAAGAAGTCAATTCTGGTATCACTTTGATCTCAGAGATCTATCCTTCAAAAGTGTAAGAAAAACATATATTTTTTTCTTGTCTAAACTGTCCAACCCACAGTATTTGCCTTGGCAAGCCTAGCAAACTTCAACACCTACTTGTTTTTGGTACTTGGAGTCTATATTTAGTGTTGTGTAATTATTTAAAAATTGTTTCTATTGTTCTCTTTGTGCATTCATCGTAACTGTTTGAATGAAGTTTTCTATAAACTGAATGTAGCAGTGCTTACCTGAAATCCCAGGACTACAAAGACAGAGACAGAATTATCACAAGTTCAAAATCTTCAGCAACATAGCAAAATGAAGACAGCCTGAGCAATGGGAGAATACACACCACACACTGAGAATGCCAATAAGACTTAATGTTGTATATCTTACCGCAGTAAAATTTGTTGTAGTGTGATTTGGTATGTGTGTGTGATGCTTTTGAAAATAGGTTAAAAGTGTTGGCTTTTGCAGCTAATGGTATAATTCATATTTACTTATATACAAGAATCTAGTGTCCTGTATGTTTACATTAATATCTATGAAAAAGGCAGAGAAACATTAGCATAACACTAGAATGGCCAAGCAAACATTTTAGATTCAATTCTTCTATAATCACTATTTCAGATACATGTAGCAGTGTGTACTTGCCTCTGGGCCCCGTCAAAGCTCCCTGCTGTGTCATTATGAAGGGTTTTCTCTTTCACTAGTTGAACATGTTTTTTTCTGTATTCTGAGTATAAAGGTTCTGTTCTACCTCAAACCTGAAATTTCTCTAAACTTCTTGTTTTCTCTGACTTGGCCCTACCATTTTCTCTTTTCTTCATTTGGTTTTACTGATCAAATGCAAATTCCAACGTCTGGTGAATTTTTTTAACTACTCAGTGATAAAAAAAAAAAAGTATTATTTCAATTTTATAGACTTTTTTGAAAACTAAATATTAAAATGAATATGTATTATCATTTAAAATATATCTATGAGTTTCTAAGTACAGTTTAACTGATTATACCTATCAATACCTCTTTTAAAAGCATTACAATTAAATTTACTAAATTTTCTTTTCACCTCAGTAGATCCAAGGAAACTCAATACATAAAACATATCCACATAGAACTAATGCCTTTGCCTCCTATCTTTTTGTTCAACGTGAACATTTTGCTATGGTGAAAGAATTATCACCCTTGTTTTAGGTAGGAAGCTACTGAAATAGAAATATTTATCATAAAGACAATCCCTAGAAGGTTTATAATTGGTAGGCTAACACCAAAAGAATCTGAATACTGAGCTTCACTTTTAGAAATTAGGGTAGAGGGATCATTTAGTCAAGTCACATATGACCAACAAAATAAAAATCTGTGTAATTATTTTTTTTTCTTTTTTTTTTTAGATTTTTTAAAAGTTATTTTATTGAAGTTAGAATGTAATTACATTATTTTCTTCTCTTTCTTTCCTTTCTTTTTTTTTAAATTTTTTATTTAACTTTTATTAATTACACTTTATGCATTTTGGATCCCCCCATAAGCCCCTCCCTCCTCCCCTCCCCATCCTACCCACCCTCCCCTTTCTGCATGCATGCCCCTCCCCAAGTCCACTGATAGGGGAGGTCCTCCTATCCTTCTTTCTTTTTTTTTTTTTATTATTTTTTTCTTTTTAGACAGGGTCAGATGAAAGGGGAGGAGGTCCTCCCCTATCAGTGGACTTGGAAAGGGGCAGGGAGGAGACCAGGGAGGGAGTGTGGGGTTGGGGAGGGAATGAGGGAGCGGGATACAGCTGGGACACAGAGTTAACAAAATGTAACTAAAAAGAAAAAAATCTGTGCAATTATGTTTAAGAGAAAATAAATGGCAGTTCTGAATACCTGGTGCCCACAGAAGCCAGTAGAGAGTGCTGGGTCCCCTGGGACTGGAGTTACAGGTAGATGTAAGGCACCATGTGCCTACTGGCAAATGAACTCAGTTCCCCTGGGATAGTAGCCAGTGTTTGGGGGGTTTTTTGTTTGGTTGTTTGGTTGGTTGGTTGTTTGGTTGGTTGGTTGGTTGGTAGGTTTTTTTTCAAGACAGGATTTCTCTGTTTAACAAGAGCCCTAGACTATCCAGGACTCACCTTGTAGATCAGGCTGGCTTCAAACCCACAGAGATCTGCTTGCCTCTATCTCCCAAGTGCTGGGATTAAAGGCATGTGTGACTATGCACAACTGTAGGCAGTGCTCTTAACTGGTGAGCTATCACCCCAGCTTTTCTACCCCACAGTAGAGAGCCAACCTCTGACACTATTAATGATACTCAGCTATGATTGCAGATTGGAGCCTAGCATAATTGTCCTCTGAGAGGTTCCACCCAGCAGTGAACCAAAAGAGATACTAAGACTTGCAGCCAAACATGGAAAAGAGAGCTGAGAGCCCTGTGGAAGCCCAGGGGAAGGATAGAAGGACATGGAGGGGACAAGATCACCACAAGAAGAACAACAGAGTCAACTAATCTTGTCCCATGGGGGCTTACAGAGACTGAAGCACCAACCTAGGTCCCCTACACATATATAACTGATGGGAAGCTTGTTCTTCATGGGGATTCCCTAGCAAGTGGATCAAGGGCTGCTTCTGACATGGACTCTGTTGCCTGTTATTGGATCATTTCCCCCTAGTGGGGCTGCCTTGCCTGGCCTCAGTGGAAGAGGATGCGCTCAGTCCTGATGAGCCTTGATGTGCTAGGGTAGGTCGATGGGGGGATCCCCTTTTCTGAGAAGAAGGGGGAGGATGGAAGGAAAAGGAAGAAGAAAGTGAGAAGATAGGACCACGGGGAGAGGAGGGCGGGACCTGCAGTCGGGATGTAAAGGGAATACATAAGCTTAATTTTAAAAACATGGCCATCTTTTAAAACCGCTGAACATTTGAATGTAATGGCCTACCAGTTCTTTCAGCATATCCATGCATACTCTTAGTATACTTCAGATGAGCTTTAAGAATAGTTGCTTATAGTTGCATTCTATTCCCAAGAACATTGTGCCAGGTGTGATCACCATCATGCACCTCTGCAGAGGTCAATGCTGCAAAAAGTATCTGCTCCTCAAGGCTCTGGCTATTCTTACTTACCTGATGGGGCTGTTGCAAATACCCTGGGTTTTCCTTACTTTCTGAAGATGAAAAATGGCTGCATTGCTTTGCCATTCTAATAATTAAATTCTAATAATTAAATCTATGTAGTATAATGATGTGAAAAAAAGATTTTTTTAATAGTGCAAAAAAACATTTTTTAATTGTACTGTTTCTACATAGTACAAAAATAGTACCATTTTTTAAATAGTACAATATGAAAGAAAGAAAACCTGAAATAAGATTTTAAAAGGGGGGGGCAAGAAGAGTAAAAAATAAAAGGGGAACAAAAATGGTTGAGTAAAAACAAGAAAGTGTGGGAAGGTAAATAAAAATTAGAAAGGAAAATAAAATGAGAATGAACCCCTTTAAGAATCTAACAGAAAGAGCGAGGGGTGGACAATGGTCGTGCAGTGGCTTATCATGAGGAAGAATGTGGACTCAGTCTCTCTCACTGCAAAGATGAAAATAAAGACTTGTTCTTATGAAAACTACATCTCGTTGCCGATGGTCATACAACCCCTGAAAGCACAGAACTCAGGAGACTGAAACAAGAGGATTGTGAGTCTAACACCAACCTGAGCTAGCAAGACCATGACTTAAGAAGAGTTAGGAGAATCCAATGAAGTCAATTGATGAAACTCCTGCCTATCCCCGCCCTTGAAGTGAGAAGAATAGGGTGGTGGAGTGAGAAATTCCAACATCATCCTTCAACTCTCTGCATATGCATCATGATCAGTGCCTGTGCTCCCTAAGTATTGGGCTTCACTTTTAGGCAGACATAGCTTCCCCAGATGACTGTCAAAAATTAGACAAAATTCAGAGTTCCAAACATGAGAGATCTTGGGCTCTCTGAGGTATGAGAGTGGTTTGTCTGGACAAGGTAGAAACCCAGAAAGCAATATAAAGTTTCTGACAGAGCCATTGGCAGGAAATGCTTGGTTGAGATCGTTTGGGCAAAAGCAGCAGTTTATTCGTGTCTTACAAACACACAGTGCTGGCACAAAAGAACAGACACCATCTCCCTCACGCCATGCTTACCTCCGGGTCACTTCTACTGAACTACAACAAGTCAGAACAAGTCAGCTACTGAATCACACAGTTCTTCAGACATGGCACCTCCCTCTTTGGGTGGTCAGACAGGCTAAGCAGACAATAAATTAATTTACATGTTTAATACAGTGCATGAACATTAGCAGAGTTGGATATTCACTTTGATATTGTAATACATCATAAACAGTACGATTTTCAAACATGATGAGATCACTTATCTCCCTGCCTGTTTCAATTCTTTTCTTGCTTTTCTCCTTTCTTGCTTTCTTCTTTTCTCTTTTCCTTAAAACCTGTTATCGTTTCAATCAACTCTTCACCAGCAAAACACTTTAAATTGTAAAACTTAAAACTATTTACAAGCAATTCTTGTGATTTTTAAAAGTATTTGTTATCGGGTTTCCTTTCTATTTTTAAAAAAAATCCTTTTCCAAAAGGCATCCTATAAATTGGATCACCGTCAACTTCCTGACAGTCTGTAGGATACTTGGAAATGACGCCTCATGACATTAGAGTTCCAAGCTATACTCTGTTCCATGGCCTATGACATCAAATGTACATACACACAGAGGCTGCCTGGCCTCCCCAAACTCCACATGACTGCAGTTCATTCCGTGTTCTTTCCAGCTGAGTAGATGGAGATGAGAGATGACTTTGTCACTGGATGACAATGAGTGTGAAAAAAGCATAAAAGAGGTTGGTCTCAGTTTTTGTACATACAGAGTGAATATAGTTCCTTATAGAAAGTCGGACTTTCGTTGTAGTCATAAAAAGCACGGACAACTGGATCGGAAATACATTTTCATTGAATTTACAAACACTGTGATATCAAACACATTCTCAAAAATGGCTAAACCACTGACACAAAACTTGACTCAAAGGTAAATTTTTCAGTAGACATTATCTCTAACTTGCATATTTAATAACTCAGCTGGACCTAAGTCACACTTAGATTCTCTAATCACCCAAATATGAAGACATCGCCATTGACTTAAGTCTTCCCAGAAAATGCCAGAGTTCTGCCTGACTCAAACAGATTTTGCAAGAATTTCAGAACTCAGCAATTGGGAGTGGCACAAGACACAATTCTTTAAACTACCTTAAAAAATAACACCTCATGACAATTTGGCCTCTAAAGATAGTGACATACCGTCTGGACTAATTTTACAGCTTATGTATATTTTGTAAATATTCATAAATTCTGAAAGGCTTACTCTTTTTTTGTCCTAGTCTTATTTACTTAAAATGGTTGATTTCAACTTGACAATGAATTTCTCAAGTATTTTTCTTTTCTTTTGTTCCTTTTTGAGTAACTTAGTTCTTCCTGGGAAAGAATAAGTTAAAAACTTAGGTAGCCATGTCCACTCTGAGGGGAAAAGAGAGTCTTGAAAATACACTTGTACACTGATAGATTTTTATTTTAAAAAAAAATTGTGTTCCTAAGTGAAATTCTAGCTTAAGTTTATTTTTTATCATTAAAGAGTCTGACAACTTCACAAAGGTAAAGAGGAGTATCTTAGGCCATACTGAGGCTTGTAATGGGCAGTGAATAATTCAAGACCATGGTTTTTAGGTAAAGTTACATTTTACATGACTCACACATGATCTTGGGGAACAAACATCTCATTTCAACCACAGTGTTCTTCAATTCAGCCCTTTAATAAATTAATTTCCCAACTTGTTTGCTGTCTTTATGAAGTGAACCTAAGTTACCCCTTCTATGATGGGATTATATCAGATAATTACAAACCAAATGGAAAGGACAGCATTAGCATACTTTGTTATATAAAACAATCATTTGAACATGACATATTTAACTGAAAAAAAAAAAACAGACTTAAGGACATTTCTGAAATATCTTTGGATTGAAATAAAACCTATCTCCCCAACCTGAAGAAAAATGGATTAATCATCATACAAAAAAGGTGTGATTTTCATTTTTAACTCTTAACAATCACCTGGGTTTCCACTACCAAGGCAAAAATGAAATCATCACCTACCACACACATCTGTGACTTGAGATTAAGCTAGAGTGTTCATAACAGGCTTGGTTGGCCCACTTAATACCACACAGAGGGAAACTGTGTATCTTTTGAAAATTTGAACAACACCTCTAATAAAGGAGGAAATTATCACGATACACATTTCCAACTATTTTCTGGTCTACTAATTTAATACACTTCTAACCAATGTAAATAAGTAAAAATAAATAATAAAGTAGCTCGATGTGCCACAAGCTTACAGTCATGGATAAGAAAGAAAACTGCTTCTCTCCTAGTAAAAATCTCCAAGCCCCCGCTCGCAGCCAGGAAGCTAACCATCACACAGCATGTGCCACTTAGCAATCTGTCTCCTGGGGAAGTCACAGATCTCCTTCCAGTGCCCCCCACCGCTTCCTTCTGCCGTGGCACCCAGGACCAACCGCCCGATCACCTCGTTTCGGGGTCCCCTTTCAGAATCCAAAACTAAAAATTCAACACTTATTTCTTCAAGACTCTCACAAGGAATATCAAAGACAAACAGTTCGTTGAACACTGCGTTGGGAGTGCATTTTTTCACGTGAGTCTTCTTTTTGGAGATTCTCTTCTTGGCGTGGTACAGGTTCACTTTCACATAGGGATCTGCAATGGCATACAACAAGTGTTATATTGGCCACAGTGAGCCGCAGATCCGACCCGGGAGATGGCATCCTTGGTGTCCGGGGCACACCAGTACAGTGGACATGGGCATCTTACAATGTAAGCAAGTCCAAACAAATGGGACTGAAAATAGGTTTCACCTTTTTCTCGTCAATGAAACTGAAAATAATGAAAAATAGAAAGCAGTCTCTAGACCTGGTGTTAGGGAAGGAATCATAATAGTACAAGAACAAGAACTTAACAAAAAGGGAAAGGAAAGAGAATGCTGCATACTGCCTACTAACAATAAATTCCAAAAGTGAGATGAAGCCAAACCTTACCCTGCCTTTGAGCTCACTCATTGCACGCTCTTAGTGAGTCTACCTCAAGATGCCATTTTTGTTGCTAAATGGATTTAGAAACCATAATGATGATGTCCTGCCCTTTAGCTTTTCTGCAAGTGGCTAGTCATTGCAGAATTTGGTTTCAGTTTACCATAGTTGATCTTTCCTGTGACATTCTTATGAAATGATTTAGGATCATGTGAGTTTTTTCACCACATAATTATATTATTTTTAATTGCAGTACATATATATATATATATATATAATTTATCTTCATGATCTCAAGAGTTAAGAACTTTCCTTCAATTTCTACAACCAAATAATAATAATAATACCACTAGGTGATTCATTATTAAAATATATACTTCTACTTTTCAAAATGGTTTTCAAATATTATTGTTTCCAATTTCTGTAGTGCTTAAGAAATATGATTGGTCTGCTCTTTGATCACCTCCCCCTGAGGGGGAGCAGCCTTACCAGGCCACAGAGGAAGAGAATGTAGCCAGTCCTGATTAGACCTGATAGACTAGGGTCAGAGGGAAAGAAAGGAGGACCTCCCCTATCAGTGGACTGGGGGAGGGGCATTGGTGGAGAAGAGGGAGAAAGGGTGGGATTGGGAGGGGAGGGGAGGGGAAGGAAGCTACAAGGGGATACAAAGTAAATAAACTGTAATTAATAAAAATTAAAATAAAAATATATTTATAAAAAATATAAAGAGGATACTATACTATGAAATGGTAAGATGAAGATTTTAATTAAGATTACTTTAACCTATAGCTTTGCTCGTTTTCTTTCATACTATATTCTACAACAAACATTTTATTTTTTCAGATTTATTCAAAATTAAAGTTAATTCTTAAAGCATGTGTATTATGGAAGAAAAGTAATGAATCATTTTAAAGAGTGAGGATAAGTCAGCTCATTTGAAATGCAAAAAAATCAAAACTCTTGTCTTGAGCAATGTTAGGCTCTATCTTTTCTTCATTTGTCATTGCTCTCTGCGTTGAACCATTCACTTAAGTGTTTCATCCTTGAGAATGACAGACCAATGACTGGCCCAACTTGAGACCCACCCCATTGGAGAGAGCCAACCCCTGGCACTATTAACGGTACTCGGCTATGCTTTCAGACAGGAGCCTAGCAGAACTGTCCTCTGAGAAGCTCCAACCAGCAGCTGATGGAAACAGATGTTGAGACCCACAGCCAAACATTAGGCGGACAGTCTTGTGGGTGGGAGGAAGGCTTGAGGGAGCAGGAAGGGTCAAGGACACCACAAGAAGACCTACAGAATAAACTGACCTGGGCCCACGGGGGCTCACAGAGACTGAACCACTAACCAAAGAGCTTGCATGGGCTGGACCTAGAACCTTACACATACACAGCAGACATGCAGCTTGGTCATCCTGTGGGTCCTTAACAATGAGAGCAGGGGCTGTCTCTGACTCTGTTGTCTGCCTTTGGTGCCCTTTCTCCTGCCTGGGCTGCTTTGTCTGGCCTTAGTGGGAGGGGATGATGTGCTGTGACTTAAGGTGCCAGCGTGGGTTGGTAGACCTAGCTGGCCTCTCCTTCTCAGAGAAGAAAGAGAGGGGGGCATGGGAGAGGGAGTGTGAGGGTGGGACTGGGAGAAGAGGAGGGAAGGGGCAAGGGATCAGGCTGTAACGTGATTGAATACATACATACATACATACATACATACATACATACATACATACATACATACATACAT